CCTAGTTGGTAAGTACCAGCTGGTAACTGCTGTAGTAACAGTGCCGTATGAAATAACCTCTACAATAACATATTATCTTGCTTGTGGGTTTTATAAGGCCGCGATTCTTTACAGTGGGCTATTAGCATCAATAAACAAACACATACAGTCCACTTGTTTTAAAACAAGTCAAATGTATATACAAGTGTTCGTTAGACAGTTGAATCCAGACCTTTAAATAATTCTCTTTTCCGTCAAAAGTCTACACAGGCTGGTGGTGTTCTTTAGAACATAATTTAAATGCGAATTATTATTCACGACTCTGTTATTACAATACAGTATGCGATTAATACACTTTAAAAACCGTTACTACGATCACTCAGTCTATATCTATCTCTTTCTAATTTTTTTATTGAATTTTCGACATGTGTGTATATATACTCTCTACAGCAATCTAGAACTTTCTATACGCTACATGGTGCAACAATACTGGATGAAACCAACAAGAAAAATTCAGAAGGTTTGAGTAATATGACGTCAATTCACAACAATTGAACTACACAACAAATGATTTCCAAACAATTACGTAAGCAAACTTGCCATAAGTATCGCTTCTAACTTTAACGTTCACACAGTATAAGCTAAATAATGCTATTCTATTAAACTTGAAATGTACAGTCATCATGTATATCCAACAGTATTTATATGTGCTACTCGAAGTATTTGTTAGTTGTTGCTTTTTTCTTTAGTTTAATATAGTAAGTTGTACTATATGTACTGAATACGAATTACAGTTCAGTCTTTAGAAATGGTATTCTAACCAAGTAGTTCTCCAGTAGTACAACTAATGTTCTAGTGTGGGGGTATATGTTACTGCAGAGATTACCATTTAGTGCTTATTTACTTAAGTTTTACCTTTCAGTAGTAGTAGTAGTAGTAGTAGACCTTGATCGGGACCTGGGAGGGTCAGGTACTAATTAGACCTCCCTTCTCAGTAGTCATCATCCACTGTATCGGTTTTTTAGGTTCAATTTTGTTGGACCTGGGAGTTTCAGGTATACCTTCGACCTTTTCCTCCTCCCCCTAACAGTAGATTTTTACTTTTTACTTTTTTTGTTGTATAATATGTTTTACATTTCATGTTTAATTTGTTTTCCTTCTAAGATGATGTTTGGTACTTTTTATTGTTTAAACCTTCTGCTACTGGTGTTATAGTTTCCTCGAGTTTAATCCACAAGATGACTCCGCGCTAATGATGTCGTGTCCAGGTTTTATTTATTCCACATAGAATGTTTCCGGTGATACTTTCCAAAGTTACACAATGCTAAATTTATTTACTTAGCTTCCATAAATAAAATAAAAAGAAATTTGTTTTGTATTTAAAATGTTGGTGATATAACAGAAAATAGCTTAATTCAGAAACAATTTAAGTTTAAAAATGAATCGATATTTTTACTTTCATGATAAATTTTATGCACTTGGCTCTAGGCTAGGTGATCCCACACCACATCTTTATTTTAGGCTTTTTATATCAACACTCACTACACTTATAAGGTTTCCGAGCACCACCACCCCTCACTGTCCCCTTGCACCCCTGTCACTAAAATCGTAATGGGCAGACAGTAATCGAAATATTCTATCTGAATAAATGCATTTTGGCTTTTATGACTCCTCCTATTTCGAGAAATCAAGCTTGACATGACGTGACACACACTGGCTTTTATATAGGTTAGATATATATGTATGTAGATATTTGTGTAACATAAACGTGTATTTTGTTTGTTTGTTTTTCAGTTTTAACTTCATCATAAGGGATCCAACAGAACAACTACAAGCATTTGTTTAGTTAAGCATCTCGACTGTGAGGGGAAGAAACGACGAAGGTCATGATATCTTGAGTGACCTCACAAGCTTGGTCTATGACTTCCATACCTTCTGTAGCTCAGCCCCCGTGGAATCCGATGCTCCCACCTGTCCGCAGGACGAGTTACTCCCCTGGGACTATGATGAGCACGGTCAGTGATGATCCCATTTCTTTATGGCTCCGCCTTGGGGCTCTAGAGAAACTCGAACAGGTACTGCTAGATGGCTATGGCGAACAGCTTTACGGGAAAACGTCTCGGATTCCAGAAGTTAGTAAATTCCTTAAACAGATACCCGTTTTTCAGGTAATTATGTTGAAAAAAATTCTATTGTACATAGATTTAATGTACAGAAGATATGTGTACATATTTAAAAAGATATATTTATTTAAACAAAGAATCAACATCTACCACCCTGCCTCACTTTCAAATTCGAACAAAGCACCTATATCTGTAGCTATTGTCTCTTACATTCGCCAATACTTATTATTACTGAGGCTTATGTGTTGTATAAATAAAACAACTTATGAGGATGCTAAAGTATTATTGAAAGATGTATTTTCGATGTTTGATGGAGGACGCTCGCGATTGCGATGACGTTAAGATCTAGAAAGTTAATGACAGTTAAGAATCGTTAAAGTCTATGTAATATGTAGAGCCAAGGGTACGATATAAATATGACACTTAAATGAGTAATCAGTAATTATTGATACAGTTCAGAGCCAGTCAGTTTGAGTAATTATTGAGTTATTGATTAAGTTATTTCTGTAATTCAGTGAAAGCTATTTAATTCAGTGAAGTATAAAGGGAGTAATCGACCCATTATACAAGTAAGATTATAAGTATGTTAGGCATATGTACAATTAGTGTCAGAAGTTCTGTTAGAATATTGTTTGTGAACTTAGGCCTACAAATTCTGTCATAGTGAACCTAGCCTGTAACAAACTTTATTGAATAATTAAATTAATTCTCTGTCGTTATGTGAACTGATTTTGGCATTCATTTTACCAAATAATCCAAAAGAATTCGCCCGACGATATATCACTTTACAACTGTATTATTTCTCTGAGTCTCGACATACTCTCGAACTCAAGTTATATTGAATGCTTTAACTAAAGGAAATATTCGGACGATTTTGATTTCCATTTGTTCTTTCGAAATCTCGCCCCATTCTTCATTTAATTTCACTAACTGAATGACTCTTTTACTTATTGTATCTTTAATATTAGGCGAAGATCGAAGAGATCCATAGGGCTGTAGCTAAAGGGCAACTACGAGAGGTGCAACACCTTATTGACAGGAAGAAACTGGCCTTCTCACGTGACCATATGGGTGCTAGCACACTTCACAAAGCTGTGCTTTATGAACAGACAGAAATAATGGAGTATTTGCTCGATCGGTACAGTAGCGTCATACACGCTAGAGATCACGTGAGTCAAAACTATTCACTACAAAAATATTTCGGGCAGAGGATATGCCTAGAAAAGTATACCCCCCCCCCCCAGAAAAAAACACACACACACTCTTATCACTTCATTTATATATATTTATTATATTGGTTTATATTTAACATATTGGATATTTTTCCTTTCTGGAAAAATAAAAACAGATTTTTATGAATTATAGTAATTATAGTATTTTGTCAGTTTTTTTGTTAGTTTTGACGGTGAAGCCCCATTATACAAATATTTCAAAATATAATATGGTGAAATAGTAAAATATAATACTTGAGAAATATGGATGTGTAATATTAAATAAATATATAATGTATATGCATATAATATAAATATGGCATGCTTTAGAAAAAAAATTGTCTTTCTTTTCTTTCTTCCTCTATTTTCCTTCTTTATTTCTCCTTTTTTATTGTCGGAAGGAAGAAATTTCGGGGGTTTATCCCCATACGCCCTGCCTATGGTCCTGTCGTTTAGCAATAAAAAAGTAATAATTGTGGTTTTCTTGGAAATGAACAATTGATTTAGATATGTTTTTTTCTATTTTAGAAAAATGTTATCTTAAGAGTTATTATTTTTAAATAGTCTTAATTATATTAGGTCGTCAAGAAATTAATATCGCTTTTTTTTATATCAAAACAAAACATTTATTAATTAAATGAAATAGTCTCCATTCTTATCGATGATGCTTTTCCATCTTACAGTCAGGTTGTTAATGACCTAACTAAAGAAATCACTTGGCTTTGAAGCAAAAAACATATCTATATCCTATTTAACACCTTCCCTATTTGCAAATGATTTATAGAGATGGTGTTGTAATATGTTGGTTCAATATTTGGAGAATATGGTGGGTGGAGGAGAACTTCCCAACCCAAATCCATAATCTTGTGTTGCGTCAAACGCGTGTCACATGTGGACGTGCATTGTCGTGGAG